GCCAAAACTTCCTTTCTAAGGAGAGGCCTATGTCCAGCAGTGGACTATTAAAGCCTATGATGGTGGATAAATTAACTAATCTGTTGTTATAACGTGTAAAAGTAAAAGATGTAACAGGAAAGATTTTGTATTCGAGTTCTTTAAAATAATAAAACTAGTAGCTCCCTCTGTAGTTATTGTAAGTAAAATGCTTTGTAGAGCCATCTTTTCAACCAAAGTAAGTAGTAAATAAGTAGTACTAGTAGTTTAAGTATGTAATAGTTTTAGTGTGTGACAATAGATGGCGCTTAACTCAATAAAGTTTATTAATTCATTGCCATACAGAAAACATCAACGAGTTAAGATGTATCTAAGCAAACATTAACTTACTGAAACAACATTAATGACGAATCGAACTAAAAAGAGCTTCATCAAGTAACTATGTCGGACTCGTGTAAACGATTTATATGAGCCTTATGTCAAGGAGTTCATTAGTATTTCTGTTTTGATTGATCTTGTGGACACCCCCAAGTTTTTGGGTATACCTCTAGATTCTATATTGCAGTGGGCCCACATATTGATTGATTGTCGAATAGACTCAGCTCTGCAGCATACGCGGTTAGTAAAATTCTTCAATTAACGGATGTAGAAATGGCTAGACTGGCGTAGATATATGGATAATGTAACGTCATATGGTATTTTGTTGTGGGGAAGCGCTGCTGACGTTCAAGTTATATTTGTGTTGCAAAAGAGAGCTGTTCGCGCAATCTATAATCTGAGTTCTAGGCAGTCACTGAGGGATAAGTTTAAATAAATTGGTATCATAACAGTCGCATCTAAGTACATATATGAAAATTTAGTGTATGTAAAGAAAAAATCGGTTGTCTGTAAAGTCGGTTTACTGACGATAGTTGAACGTGACAACGTCATAAGAAAATACTAATGGAATGGTTGCATTTTTCAAAAGAAAAAATTAATTTTATTTGTTAGACAGATATCGAATGCTGCCGAACGAGGAGGCCGATTGTGCCTCTTTGTCGCTCGTTCCCCGCTCTCGCTTGCACTTCAAGCCTTCATGAGAGTCATGTTTTTTCGTGCGTGCAGCCGGCTCCATCGAATTATAAGACGTTGTCACGTCAAAATATTCATATATTCACAAAGTTTAGCGACATTCACCAAATAAACATTAGAAATAAAGATAAACTCGTGTTACCAACCATATGATTCTACAATAAAATTCCAAGCAAACTAAGTATTTAACTAACCCGCTTTTACTATCATTTCCTATCATTGTTGTTATGCTTGAAAGTGATGGTCATTTATTGTATTCTTGTATTTCGGATTTTGTTTATTCTTGCGTGTAGTCTTGCGCTGGCGTAATAATAATAACTAAGTCGCAGTACTCTTGTAATTCGGTCACTGGTGTGATATGATGTGATTTACGAATCATATGATTTTTACATGCGCTTGCGATTTTATTCCATCCCTAGTGTTTACAATTTTCTGGTACCAAATGTTACAAGCTATTCAAGGGCGAGACCCTGAATGAAAGCGAGTAACACAGTTATATATTTGGGTCGACACCACCAAGTCATCACATCACTTTGTCGTTGATTCATTCCTAAACCTTTTACTTAATTGTGTTCTAGAAATTTCCTCGTTAAATATTTTCCTTGGGCTGCTGCTATTACATGCCTAATACTTTTTTACTGTTACTTATAGATAAGCCCTTTTTTGTGTAATGTTTAGGAATATTGACTGCTAAGCTAAGACAAATGTCGTGGGTTCGTTCCATTTTACCCAGGTCTAATATTGTGTGATGAGCACGATCATTACACCTGATTGAGTGTAATTTATCTATAATATGTATTTATTTTTTTAAGTAGGTATGTTTGTTAACAGTCTGGTTATTATAGTTTATTCTGCTCTGGCTTGTTTGGGATCAGATCAGATTGGGCCGTGTCTAAGATATCTGAGGTTATTTTTATTTTATTTTACGGTATCAACTTTGGTATGTACCTTTTTTAAAATCAACACACAGTTGTTCTTAAAACAAATAGTAGCTACCTATCGAGTCACGTACTTTCACGTACTCATACGTGAGAATACGTGACTAGAGAGAAGGGATTAAAATGAGTATTAATGTAAAATATTTTTTATCCACTGGATGATATCTGCTCATAGTGTGATCATCCATACAAATAAATAAAATTGGAATGTCTGTTTGTAATATTAAAATAACCGCTATTTACTAAATGCATATGTATGTTTACACGGTTCATATGCCAAAATAACATTTTTTACAATTTTTGTCTGTCTGTCTGTTTGTTCCGGGTAATCTCTTAAATTAAAAATCGGTAAATTTCACTGGCAAATAGCTGATGACATAAGGAGTAACTTAGGCTACTTTTTTTAGACTAGCTTCGCCCCGCGGCGTTGCCCGAGCAACAGACGCGGGTAAGACCGCGGGTCTCAGCTAGTATTGAATATAAATTAACTTTCCACTTACTCACTTACACTCATCATTACTAGAACGATTACTAGCTGTAAAAAATGGATGGTGGGGCTTTCGGGACCGGGACCGCGGTCCCAATTTCCCTAATAGAAACAATAATTATTTTTGAGTTACTAACCTAACAGATACAATAATTATTTTTAAGTAACTACTCAAAAACAATTATTTTATATACTGGGGAATTTGTTGTTGTTTTTGTTAGTGGTCTCAATAAGTATATTGCGTCCCAATAAGGATATAAAACAAAGAATTTATGTATTGGGAAAAAATCAACAAAAATGATTATATTTATAAAACGACAAAATATTTCTTTTATTTCAAAAATGACACTTCCATAATAAGCAAAAATGTTTTCATTTTTTGTTGACCGTCTTTAAGAAGGCTATAGAGGGATTCCCGAGGTCTGTCGGGGCACCAGGGACTTCCTTTCTAGGGTATACCTGGTTCCCCGGCTATTAGTACCCGAGACGGCGTGCGGTTTTAGTCGGTTCGAGTCCGACATGCCACCGACAGGTGGTATCCGAGAGGACTTCCGCACGGAAAAAAAAAAAGGCTTTAGAGGGATTTAGCTGGTTTACCTCTCTCATCAACTTCCACGTTATACAACGTAACGAAATACCCATTTTTCTAGTATTACACGCTTAATTGACTTTGCATTGAGAATGATGTCTGGTTTGGACGCAAAACCACAGATATCCGCCGGTATACTAATGATTTTCATACGTATCCACTATTAATGTCCAGTCACTAGCGGTATTTATAATTGAGTAAGGCTACTCAAAAACAATTATTGTATTTAAATAGAGGAATTCGGGACCACGGTTCCTGCCCGGAAAGCCCCCGACCCAATAAAAATAGTATAATCTGGTAGATATCGTTTTTATTGAAAAATATTAAATAAACAGATAAATAAATAAATAACATAAATGATGATCAGAAAGTCACTGAGACATCCTCATTTGAGATTTGTCATCAGTTCTGAATGATGAAAGAAATACAAAATAAAATCAAGAATATTCTTCATTCATAATTTATTCAATATACATAATATTTTATCACTTATCTCTATATTCTTTACAATATATCATAGGGCAGTGATACATTTATTTTTTCACTAAACTTAGTGCACTATAGCATAGTTAAACAGAACTTTAATAATACCTTATAAAGACATATTTTCGGAATTAGTTTATTTATAATTTTATTATCAAAATAATAATAGTGTATAATACTTTAACATATACATACATACATCTCTTATAGTCTATTTCCTTTATTCTAGAATCCTTTTTAATAAAAACACACACACATAAATGGTCATGTCTATCAAATGATAAAACGGTAAACACAACAATCCCCATTGTATCCACGTCAATGTTCCCATAAGAACATTAACAGAATACATTTGTAGTAACTGTTTTTATGTTCGTATATTTGCCTTATGCATGCATAAGTACATCCTTTTGCCTATCTATACACAAAAAAATAACTTGCCCAGCTGACTGAGTGATTCATCAGCATTCAGCTTAAACCGCTGGCGTTACAATCTTAAAACTTTGGCAGCTGAACTTTTTTTGTAGTAAGCACTCACTAAAAAAAGGATTTTTGGAAATTTTATTTTAAGGGAGTGAAATGAGCGATGAAAAAATAATGATGCGAGCGAAGTCTAGTCTCGAAGTCTAAACTAGGAAGGAACAATTATTGATAAACTATTATATATTATACATATAAAGCAATGAAAAGGAATTTATTAAGGTATAAAATGCTGTTTAATGTGCTAAAGAAACGAAGTAGAAACATTAATATTATGATTTAAGTATACTGTTTATTATAAGTAATACAGGAAACTGGTGGTCCACCTAATCGGAAGACTTTTTAAGCCTGTCATCACATTCTCAAGTCAATAGGACTCTTAGCAAGTAAACTCAAAACTTGGCTGAGCTGTAATCTTGTAAACAACCAGGGCCTCAATTCTGCTATTTTATGTTTACGCCAAGCCACTGTCATACCACTGACACGCTATTGAGATGCCATCGAGTGGCCATTGGCATCGGTATAAATATCAGTAGTTGAAAATATATTGCGTTTTTTGAGGAAATGATTTTTTTATTTTTATTATAATAAATTATTAAAAGAATTAAATAAATTGAGGCCCAGGGACGCGTAATTAGTCCCCGTTGCGCTTGAAAGAGTTTTACTAGTTATTATCTATACAGTTTTTGGTGAAATCTCGAACTATATAACCTATTTATAAGTAAATAGAAGCTAACATTAACTATGTATCGTATTTTACACATTAACCGGCAAGTTTTGAGGTTGTCCGTATACCAAACAACTCTTCGATGCAATATTGTTGACAGAACATTCTAAAATATCACATTTAATGTAAAAAAAGAAAAACTAGACAATATTGTATTTTAAATAATTCACTTAATGTCCTTATTTTTGTCCTTTTATCGGTCAATTACAATTAGTACTGGCAGTATTCGTTTCCAAAGTTTTAAAATTACCACCAATAGCCATGGTGTCCGTATCCACCGTATCCTCCATAAATACCATAGGGCCATCCGTACCCATACCCATAGCTGTAGCTAGGATATCCCCAGTAACCATAGTGGGGGTAGTGACCTCCAAAGTGACCCCCATAATGGCCATAACCACCCCAATGTGATGCTGCAGTTTTGAGATCCTCCTTATCATCTACGGCCAAGTCATCTCCTGCAGGTTGAGTTTCTAGTGCTTCTGCTGGTTTGTCTTCTGCAGGAGCCGCGTAGGATAACGTTATGAGGAGGAAGAGTGCGATGGAGAACAAAGCGATCTGTAAGTGGAAGATTTTGTTTAGAATCTTATGAGTTAAGTGACAGCACGCTAATTATTCATCATCATCATCATCAACAGCCTTTAATAGTTCACTGCTGGATATAGGCCTCATTCAAAAAACAGGTTTTGGCCTACTATACCATGCTGGCCAGACGGGTTGGTATAGGGTTTGTTTCAAGATTTCCTTCTCTTTTTGGACGCTAATTATTAAAAAAACAAAAACCCGACAACGTGAAAATGTATTGGTGTAGGTAATATTCGTATATCATAAATATGTGTAATACCTATATACCATAAATACAAGAAACAAATCAACAAAAAAAAACTTATAAAGAACAGTGTACAAAAAAATATAAAAGCAATTTATAGTTAAGTCATATTTTAGGATGTAAGCACTCAAAATTGATTCAATCTACATGCTTGTAAATTTTTGCGCTGTAAATTTTTGCAGGAGTATAGCAAGGCGTTAAACGTTTGTGATAAGTGCCTGTTAGTCTAGTGGTTAGTGACCCTGATTGCTAAGCCAGAGGTCGTGGGTTTGATTCCCACCCAGGACAAATTGTGTGATGAGCACGATTGTTTGTTCTGTGTCTGGGTGTAATTTATCTATAATATGTATGTATTTAGAAATATATAAGTATGTTTATCAGCAGTCTGGCTGCAGCAGTGTGAGATGTGTGAGGTTTTATCACAAAAGTACAAAAAAATTGCTCTATTTGTAACACACATGATAGGAGTAATGTTAATTGAGTGAGTGAGAAAGAAGATAAAGTTAAAATGCCCCCGATTCAATAAGTAATTAACACATTCAATTTAATTTAATTTTAAGGAGAGGCATATGTCCAGCAGTGGACTATTAAAGGCTGTTGATGTAATGTGATGTGATGTGACATTCAATTTTCTATTAACCAGATACTATTAAAGTTAGTTGACAAAACAAAGAATAGACTTCAAAAGCCATTGTTAGCTTATTACAGAAAGACATATATGCAAGTACAGCAAATCTAAATTCCTTTAGCAAAACACTAAGCCGTAATATCGGACAATCTTTGAATAAAACTTCCCATAACTGTACTTACGAGTAATTATCTTCTAGTTTATGTTAATAAGCCTATTATGTAATTCTTTGACATTTTTTTAATGATTACAAAAGGATAATCTATAACAAAGATCCATTTTTTTACACACAGATGTACTTTTTAAGTTTCAAATTTCGTTGACTTAAAACATACAACATAACATGACAACATACTTTTAAAGTCTTCTCAAAAAGACGATAACGCGGCAGAAATTGTACTTGCTTATAAATAGGCCATATTTTGGTTATTTGTTTTAGGACATTAATAGTTTCATTTTTATAACAAAAAGTTCTAAATATATATACTATGAAATCCTATAGTTTGAAACTATACCTAATACACACAATGTCAAACACTAAGGTATAAATAAATAGTTGCATTTTAATGATGTACTCAATAATTAAGGTAAGATGAGATTTTTGGCCTTATTGAAATCTACACTAAAAGGTTTTAATAAGGCTAATAAATCTTAGTAATAAGATGTAATATGAAAATAAAGCATTAACGTGTAAGCACTATGATCGCATTTTATTTTAATTTTTAGTATTGAAAAAATGATTAAAGGGTTTTTGGGCACCGGGACCACTAATTGTGATTTTTACCATTTCCCAAATCTTTTCGTGACAAAATTTTAGACTGAGAATTCCCAAAACTAGAACTTTGCTTTTGATTTGTGGCCAATGTACTACCTACTCGGACTGCAAAATAATTAATTGTGAAAAAAGTGGAATCTGATACTGCGGTCTCAGCCCCATGACGCTAAAACTAAATGTAACTAAATTAACGAATGTATATTATTTGTCCTGTATGATATCTAAGACATTTTTTTCTGATATTGTATTAAAAAATAGATATTATACTAGGTTATTTTTGTGAAAATTAAAGTGAATAATATCTGCACATATGTGTGAAGATATTATTTTTTCTTACTCTAAATTGATAAGGAGACTTAAAACCACTTATTTACTTAATAAGGTATCTTTTATTGAATGAAGCGAGATTTAAAAAAAAACAAATCAGCTACTTTGTCATACCTATTATATTTTTCTAGATTTTCCTGTTTTTATAGTTTTTTTTTATGTTTAATTTATAATCTATTAAAAATGACATTAGAAACTAAAATTATAGAAAGGAAATTTTTACTTATTTTTTATTGTATTTGACTGATGTATTTATTTACATATGCAATGTGGAATTGTCTTCTAGTCACGCTACAGGTAGAGACGATTTTTACATTTTTATATGATTATAAACCTCATTTAACTGTTTTTAATTATTAATATTTAAATTAATATCTATTTGATTAGTACAATCGCGTGATTTTGGTAATGTTGACATTTAAAAAAGTTAAAAAAAAAATAGTAGGAAAATTAATATTAAAAAAAAAGGAAAATTAATTAATTTAAAAATTTCGAACACTGAAATTTGAAAATAGTAAATCCTTTCCACTTACTTTGCAAGCCATGATGTCTGGAGCTGTGTGCACACTGACTCAGGCGGCCCTACACTCGGTTATATATCCGTCGTCCTAGCCTCGCAGTGCCTCACGGATGGCTGGGCGGCTTCCTTCAGCTATTGTGAGCCAATGACCTTTATGACATCGGGTAGTGAAGACGTAAGGTGTAACTGTACTATGTTTGGGGATTGCATTGTCCTATATTTTGGGCGAAAAATTGCGAGCTATGCGTTTGTAGTCACGTATGCTTGTTTTGGTAAGCAATTTTTAAACGTTATAATAATAAATGTAGATCCTTTAATAAATGGTTTTAATATGTGCTTATGCACATTTTATGGCCTTAATTAATACTCAAAAATTTATTACTTCCATAATTAATTAAATAAATAATAATATTCTACCACATTCACACAACGTCATCTAGTCCCAAACTAAGCAAAGCTTGTGCTATGGCTACTAGACAACTGATATAAATACATATATACTTTTTTTTGTAAATACATACTTATTATACATAGAAACACCCAGACCAAATCAAACATTAAATGTTCATGCACACAAATGTTTGACTTGAGCGGGAATCGAACCCGCGACCTTTGGAATAGCAGTCCGTTACACAAACCACTACGCCATTCGGTCGTCTAATTTTAATAATGATAATTATTAATGTAACTATGTAATAATGGAATATTAAAGGCTGTTGATAATGATGATGATGAATAATGTAAATACATAGGTGATAACAATTTAAGCGGTAACAATAATGGACCCTGTCGGGCGCAGCACAGTTTGTTTGGGAGAGAGGAAGATAACACAAACATATATACAGTAGAATAATATTTGTAATATGTTATAGAAGGAAAACTTGAAACAAACCCTTTTTTTTTTTTTTTTTTTAACGTGTGGAAATCCCCTCGGACCGTCACCCCTCCGGGGTTTGCGGCGGGGTGGTGTGTCGGACTCGGACCGACTAAAACCACACGGTGTGCCACTCTGCGCCTGTAACAGGAGGGATCCGGGAACAGCTGTTGTTAAGACATCCGGACCCCTCCTAGCGCCAGCCCGCTCCTGGTGCGGGCTCCGTCTCAATGTGGATGTTCCTCTCTTTAGGCGACGTCCGGCACACGCGGACGCCGCCCCCTCGCGGCTGGCCAACTAATGCGGGTGGAGGGGAAACCCACCCCGTCCACCCGCGGCCACACTCAGGGCGGCATGAGGCTGTGGTAGGCGGGCCTCCGCCGCCCGGTTCGCCGGCGGCGGATCGGGTCCGAGTGGAGGTCGTCCTCCCGGGCCCTCTCCGCCGCCTCCTTCCGCGAGATTACTACCTCGCAGAAGGTTGCGACCGCGGTAAAACAACTGTCGCTACCGGCCATGGAGCGTACTACGGCCGGTAGCGAGAGATCCACTCCGATGACTGCAGTGAGGGCCCGGCGCTGCGCCGCCCATGCGGGGCAGACCGCCAGCGTGTGCTGGGCCGAGTCCTCACTGCAGTCGCAGTGGTGGCAGGCGGGACTCAGTTCCCTCCTAGCGACCGTGTGCAGGTACTTTCCGAAGCAACCATGCCCGGAAAGCACCTGCGTCAGCCGGAAGGAAAGGGTCCCGTGCTGCCGCCCTGCCCACTCGGCGATGACCGGCTGGAGAGCCTCCACGGCGGCGAAGCCAGCGCGTGGAGTCTCCAGCCGGAACGACCAACGAGCCATCGTGGCTCGGCGAGCGGCTTCGCGCCACTCGCGCACATCCTCGGGCGGAGGGCGAAATCCGCTCTCCGCCCGGTAGTCAGCCACTCGCCGATAAACTTCGGCGAGCACTTCCGCCTCCAAATCCCACGGGGGAGTTCCGGCCAACGCGCACGCCACCTCCGTCGAAACGGTGCGGTAACCGCGTATGGCTCTGACCGCCATTACCCTCTGAGGGCGCCAGAGGCGTACCCTATTCTGGGCGGTCAGAGCCGCCGCCCACACCGGTGCACCGTACAGTGCCATTGACCGGACAACCCCCGTGTACAGCCGTCTTGTCGCGACGCTGGGTCCACCCATATTGGGCAAAAGTCGCCCTAGGGCAGACGCAGCGCCGACCAGCTTTGGAGCAAGCTGTCGGAAGTGCTCGTCGAAGAGCCACCTCCCGTCGAGGATCAGGCCCAGATATTTCATCTGGGCCCGAACCGGTACGAGGACCGAGTTGACCACGATTGAGGCGCCAGGGGGTGGACCACGACGGGGCCCATGGAATAACAGGGCCTCCGTCTTATCTAGGGCCACCCGTAAGCCCAGCGCCTCAATGCGCCCGACCACCAGGGAGACTCCCCCTGTGGCCAGGCGCGCCGCCTCTTGGAAGTTTGCCCCCCGGGCTGTCACGAGGGTATCGTCTGCGTAACAGATTACACCCAGCCCGGGGGGGAAATCGGCGCGAAGGGCCCAGTCGTACCCTATGTTCCACAAGAGGGGTCCAAGAACAGACCCCTGTGGAACACCGCACGACATGGGCCGACTCCTCAAATTACCTTCTCGGTCCTCGTACACGACGGTACACTCCTCTAAGTAGTCTGCCACTAGCCGCCTCAGGTACTTTGGCACCCCATGATAGTGGAGTGCTTCCCTGATGCAGCTGAATGGCAGACTATTGAATGCGTTGGCGATGTCTAATGACACCGCCAACAGCACGCCGCCACAGCTCACTGCCTCTTCGGTCACGGCCCTCAGGCGCAACACGGCGTCGACTGTCGAACGCCCCGCCCGAAAACCAAATTGGGCGTCCGACAGATCGGGGCCCACCTCGCAGAGGTGCCGGACGATGCGGGCAGAAAGAACCCTCTCAAACAATTTGCCCGCCTCGTCCAGCAGCACGATGGGCCTATAGGCCGCGACCGAATCGGCAGGCCGTCCCGGCTTCTGCAGCAGGACCAGCTTCCCGCATTTCCAGCACTCAGGGAAGCGTCCGGACGCCAGGCTAGCGTCCAACACCCCCCTGAGGTGGTCCGACATGTAGTCGAGGGCTCGGGCCATCACTCGGGCTGGAACCCCGTCCGGCCCGGGGGCGGTGTTCTTGGATCGAATCCGTAGAACAGCCGCCCCCAACTCCGATTCCCTGACGGGCGGAACATCGACCTCGCTGACCCCGTCGTCTCCGGCTGATGCAGCCATTGACGGGGGTGTGTGCTCCGCCCGCTGCGGGAATAGGCCCTCGACCACTTCCTGCAGGAAGCTGGGCTGGAGAGTCTCCGTAAGGGGGGGGCCCGACGCGCGGAGCTTTTGTCGCACCGCGCGGTAAGGGCGACCCCAGGGGTCACGATTAAGACCCTCCAGCATCTCCTGTCTCTTTTCCTCTTTGGCGCGGCTAATGGCCAGCTTCAGAGTTTTCCGCGCCCGCCGGTACTCCTCATGAAGCCGGTCCTCCTCACCGTCTCCACGGTGACGCCGCCGACTGCGTGTGTAGGACCTCCGGGCACGTGTACAGGCCACACGGAGGTCCGCCAGCTCCTGGGACCACCAGTAGACCTTCTTCCTTGGAGGCCGACGACCTCGAATGCGGGGCATGGCCGCATCGCAGATATGCGTAATCGCATCGCGAAAGCGGCCAGCCCCCACGTCGACCTCCTCGGTCGGAGCCTGAGGAGACAGCCACGAGTGAATTATGGCTGCCTCCTCTAGTAGGTCCCGGTTCAGTCTGGCAACAGCCCACCGCGGAAAGCGGGATAAACGCCGCGCCACGTGACCCCTACTGGAGTCCTGGGTCCGGGAGAGCTCAAATCGGATATACAGGTGATCCGAGAGCGTCTCAACCTCTTCCAGGACACACCAGTTCCTTACTCGTGCGGCGAGGGCAGGGGTAGCGAACGAGAGGTCCACTATCGACCCCCCCTGCTGTCGCACGCACGTGTTGGTGGAGCCTCTGTTTAGAAGACAGAGGCCCACCGAGGCCGCCCACTCCTCTACGGCCTCGCCCCTTGCGTCCGTCCTGGGGGAACCCCACGCAATGGAGAAAAACCCTATACCAACCCGTCTGGCCAGCGTGGTATAGTAGGCCAAAACCTCCTTTCTAAGAAGAGGCCTATGTCCAGCAGTGGACTATTATAGGCTGTTGATGATGATGATGATGATAGTAGGATACAATCGTGGTATTGTTTTTATATTATGCACATTTGCCCTTCAATATTCTTATTAATCGATAAATGTACCTGTTTGAACTAGGATCTGGTCAATCAATCAATGGATCAATAATTATATCAACTGATGATGATGATATTTTTTTTTATTATTTTTTATTTACGAAGCATTTACTTATCATTTCAGTTTAAAATTAGTAAGTAAAGATAAAGGATATTTTACCTCTTTTTTTGAAAAGACAACTCCCGCATTAGGAATATATCCTGTATCGCGGGGGACTTTACAAACATACATGAAACGGACACAAAGCACACCCAGACTCAGAACAACAATTTGTGGATCACACAAAGTGTTGTCCCATGTGGGGTTTCAACCCACAACACTCGGCGTAGTAGGAAGCGGCGTGGCGACCGCTTAAACTAATACACCATCCGTGCAGTATAAGTTAACTGTTCTTTTTTCTGTCCTGAAAAGTTTGTCAGTTTGCACAAAGGATGTGTTACTTTTTTTTATACACGTCATTCTGGTTCTAAACTTGGCAGAGCCTGTGCTGGTGCCCCGCCATTGCGGGCCGGCGCTAGGAGGGGTCCGGATGTCTTAATAGTCGCGGTTCCCGGATCTCTCCTATAACAGGCGCAGAGTGGCACCCCGTGTGGGTTTAGTCCGTCCGATTCTGACACACCACCCCGCCGCAAAACCCCGGTGGGGTGACGTCCCGAGGGGGTTACCACACGTAAAAAAGAGCACAAAGGCTTAGTTAGCTAGGCTAGTTACCAGATTATTTTTATGATAAACGGGTAAGCACGCAGACGGGTCAGCAGACTGCTAATAAACATACTTTAATTTTCTAAATGCATGTTTATTGTAGATACATTCAGACATATAACTAAAATTGGTTCATCACAC